TTTTTTTAATTTTTAAAAATGATTTATTTAATAACAACATACTTAGAAGAAGCATATCATTACAACACAATTGACATATTCAATAACAGTTTCCTGTGGTAGGATGCATCTCTTTCAAACAATGAAATGGAGATCTTTTTAAAGGTTAAAACATCATTTAATTTATGTCTTATAGGGTTTATACGAGTACAATATTGTATAACTGTAATAATTCAACTGTAAACCTAAAAATTTACAGCCAATTTTGAATGAGTTTTTAACCTTTAAAAAAGATCTCTGCCAGACGTGGTTGCGCACGCCTGTAGTCTCAGCACTTGGGAGGCGGAGGCAGGCGAATCTCTGTGAATTGAAGGCCAGCCTGGTCTACATAGTTCCAGGACAGCTGGGGCTACAAGAAGACCCTGTCTCAAAAAAGACAAAAAAAATCTCCATTTCATTTTAAAATATACTGTTTCTTATAGAAAGACTCAGTGTTTTTGCTACTAACACTGAGATGTTGGAGCAAACATCTCTAATCTGTATGTATCTAATTATTACTAGCCATAATCAGTTGCACTTGGATCCTAGGTGCCTGTGTATGTCTATAAAGTCATTAAGTAGATTTCAATGGTAATGTTTATCACCTCTACTAAATAACATGATGTAAATTTTTGTGCTTCCTCCTCAAATATAATACATTTTTAAATTTTTTTATTTTTTTGTGTGTATATCATACAGAACATCCCAAACCATCTTATTATTCAACTATATACCCACTTCCCAGATGGCACCCTCCCATAGCCTCCTCCCCCCACTGGAGCCCTTATACTCTGATATCCCTGCTACTGTCTGCTGTGTTTTCAGCACCCCCAGCTGTTCCCCACTACTTGTCCATCTGGTGAATCTAGTCAGCTATCTAGAGGTCTTTGTTTTAGGAAGGTCAGCTGCATCTAGTAGCAATCGATTGTCAAAATTCCTTTAGATAAGATGGGGGTCTGCTGTTCATTTTCCCAGTTTTATGCTGGGTTACTATCTGGGAGTCCCTTTGGCTACCCTGGCCAACAACTCAAAAGAAGGTATCTCCTATCTGGCTTTGTTGCTTGTTATGCAGCCTTTAGCTATGCATATGGACTCTTAAAAAATTATATTGGCCCCTTTAATCTTTAGTTATACTTTCCTTTTGGGTGTTTAATGCCATACAGTTGGCCCAGATAAACCAATTTATTTTTATTCTTAAGGTCGTTTGAAGAGCTATCCCTCAGGGGTCACATGGGCTTGGGAGGAGCCCTTGGCTCCTTTCTTTTACCAGTTCCACTTATGTGAAGATAAGTCAAAGGTCCTACTCGACCATGGCTGGCTTCACTTGGAAACATGGAGGAAATTTTTCCTCTGTGTTGACCCTCCTCTTTGTAGACTGGTTCAAGTCCATCTCGTGGGGTCTCCTCAGTGTCTTGATCAAGAGGACAGGTGACGCACCACAATTACAGGACATTTTGAGAGATGCATGTCATAGTCCCCTGGAACTAGTCAACCTAGGAGGGCAAGGATCAAAAACTGTCCTTTATGTCCCTCTGACCAAATTATTATAGGCCTCAAAGTATGTCTGTTAAACATCCAAGAAGGTTAGTTCCAGCAGTCTGGTACTTTTAATTACTGTGTGTCATGTAGATAAATCTTCAGCAAAGACCGATTGTTCTCAGAGAAACCTTACCTAGACCTATATTTCTTGATCTGTTATGTATAATTTGTAAGTATCTTGTTAGAGTAATATGGCTCCTTTAAACTAAACCAATATTTATCCATATCTCCCTTATTAATGCCTGTTTCCTACTGTTCTCTTTCAGGTTCTTTCTTTTCCTTTACCTCCCTGTTTCCTTTCCATTATCCTAGTTCCTGTAGTTATGTCTGGATATATACTGACTTACCAGGATTTGGTTCTAGGATCCACATATGAGGGAAAACATATGTCGATTTTTTTTTTCTGAGTCTGTTACATCCCTTAGTACAACAGTTTCTAGTTCCATCCATTTACCTGCAAATTTAATGATTTCATCTTTCTTTACTGCTGAGTAAAACTCCATCATATAAATGAACCACATTT